TATATATATGCATATGGGTTACGTATTTGTCTCATGTATTTTCACTTCCTTTCCACTCGAACTGCATTTATAAATATACTCCGTTCACGTGAATTATTGTTTAAATATAAAGCAGTCGATTTTAATTTTACACGAGGATGTAAGATACGGTTTGGCCGATTCTAAATTTACTTGTTCGTATACGGTATTAGGTTTACCTCGAGCTATTAAATAGGCGTTGCGTTCTCCAAACCAACGGAGTCTCGCTGTTGGTATCTTTCGTATTGACAGGGGGTGATCGACGTTCGTTAAATCGACAAGATTAATTGGCGTTAGCCGCAATTACTTTCACTCACGTTGAAGATTGAAAAAGCGAAGGAGCGAGAGCGAAAACGTCGCTCGTCATTTATCGGAAACTGGATATTAGTGGTATAACGATGATCGACTTCCTGTAACAGCGGTAAGAGAGTAACTTTTAACATGCTCACCTCGGGGCTGCAAAACTATCTACATTGGCCGTTTGCGCTAGGTGCGAATGTTAGAACTTTTAACATGTTCGACGCCATGCTGCAGGAGTAGCGACATCAGCTTGGAGTTGCCGTTGAAGTTCCAAACGCTTCCGTTGCGATTTTTTAACAACGTGCTTTCGCTATCGCGTTTTTCGTTGCATAACTTCGTGCAAGATTATAGCGGATCTGTTTTTCACCCAAAATTGATTTTGAAAATATTTGGTAATAATGCAAAAGAATTATCTGGGTGCTGTTTTTATCTATCTCACTATTACTTTACGTGAATCTTTTTCGTTACAGATAAAAGAGTGAGAAAAACGATCAAACTAACAAAGCAGTTGTATTAATAGTTTCATTTAACATTTCATTATATGCATTTGAGATATTAAAGATTTCAAAGGCAACTTGTAAGATATGAAAAATAGTGATATGAAAAATGTTTTTTTTTATACGGAGAAAATTAAACGAAATAAAATGATAGGGTGATACTATTGGATTTTTTAATATTTTATCAGAGAATTTTTAATTGGATTTGTTAGTTTAATGAATTGATAATGTCAGCATAATTTTTCCTTCGAGCCAGTAGAATAAACAGAAAATGAGGAAACATCATCTCAAAGATAACCATGCAATTTCTTTTTACATCTTTGTCTCTCGTTGCTGCGATTTTCAGCAAAGAGGATCAACGAGGAGAACTGTGGTGCTCCGAGGAGACCTTAATGGCGCGGTAGTGTTGTATATTTTTTTTTATTGTATG